GGTGAGGTCCCAGGTCTTGCCAGGCAATTCCACAGCCTCAACAGGTCCTTCTAACTCTCAAAGGGGCCTTTTTGGGTCTAGGGAAGTAGTAATTAGGGCTCTCCCCACTCTGAGCGAGGCAAATCTAAATCCATTGTCATGGTTAACATGTCGTGCTGTTCCTGTGTGACCAGAATGAAATTTCTGGCTATGTGTTTTGACCAAGGATACAAATTTTCATAAAGAAAGGACAGTAGAAACCTAGGCAAGGCAGGCTAAAGACACAGGGCCCACTGGGCTTCTCTGTAGGACGTGTGTTGAAGGGGAGCAAGTGGGGAGGATAGAAAGGCCTAACCTTGTCCCTCTTGTCCTGCCTGGATGGGCAGGAGGCATTCCCATCTCCTCCTCTCCCCACTGACCCTCAGGCTTCCTGACCAGACCCTTGGGTGCCTTCTTTCTAATGTTTGTTGTTTGCATTACAGAAGACATTAAGAAAATATGGGAAACAATTTCTAGGACAAGTCACCCTCAGAACAGCAATGGGGAAGTTGGGGGCCAGGTTCCCAGACTGTTTCAACATGTGAGCTTGGGACCTGTCCTGACCCGTCTGCCTCCTTATTTATCAAATGGATATATTATAGTTTCCACCTTGTGCTGTTGTGAGGACTAAATGAAATAATTGATGTTAGGGCTTTCTTAGCAGAATGCCTAGTGCCTAGAAAATGTATATTAAGTGGCCATGTGTTATTTGTTCATTTAGACAGTGAGACTGAAGAGCTATATTCCCAGACCTTTTATTTTGAAACAAGATCTCACTAAGTTGCTGGCCTTAAACTTGTGATCCTCCTGCCTTAGCCTCCTGCATTGTTGGGATTACAGATGTGTGCCACTGCACCCAGCACCATGTATTATTTATTTATTTATTATTTTTTTTAAAAAATATTTTTTTAGTTGCCAATGGATTTTTAACTTTGTATATGTGGTGCTGAGAATCGAACCTAGGGCCTCTCACATGCTAGCCAAGCACTCTACCACTGAGCCACAACCCCATTCCCACCATGTATTATTTTTTTAAAAAAGAGAGCAACAAAGGCCTGGGTTGGACTGTTGGGTTGGCTGAGGAGGTAAGGTTCAGTTTGGGAGGGAAAGGAGAGTAGCTCTGGCTTTTAGGCATGGAAGTAATGTTGCAGGCTTCTCATTTGGAAGGAGCCCAAAAGCTTTCATGAGTCAAGATCTCATGATCTTGAACAGTCTTTAAACTGACTAATCAGGTAGCTTTTGAGGAACTGTGGTTTCTAAACTTCATCTCTGAAGTAGAATGTTTTCAAGTGACCATGTGTTGAGGACCCCAGTTGGTGACCAAGAGGCTAGTAGCAGCTCTGGGTGAAGCAGGTGGGAAGACCTTAGCCCACCTGTTTCCCTGGTGTGTTGGAGGAGGCCAGATATAGTAGCCTCCCTCTGTTTCCAGACAACTCCTGAAGACTACGAGAGGCTTGGCTTTCCTGGGGCCCGTGACCTGGCCAACATGTTCCGTTTCTACTCTCTAAAACCTGACCGAAACATTGAGCTGACCCTGCAGCTCAACCCCAAGGCCCAGACGCTGGATCAGTGGCTGGAGCAGCACAAAGGGGACTTCACCCAGCTGTAACCTACCCACTTTGCAGCCCCAAGTCACGAGATGGGAGGCCCAAAGGCACAATAATTTCTTGTGCACAAAATATTTTTTTCAATAAAACCACTGTTTTCACAGATGGCTTCCAAAAGAAAAAGGCTTTGTTTCTGGGATTTGGTTTTGGGTGGCAGCTGCTAGGACACAAACAGCATGAAAATTCTAACAGGAAGCATCAAATGCTTGAGTTTGGGGCCCAGTCTCTGTCCCTCTGCAATAAAGGTAACCACGTGGGGTCTGGCTGAAGGAATCGTGGGTAACTGAAGATGGAAATGTTAAAGTTAAGGCAAGCACCCAGCTAGGGGTGTAGCTCAGTGTTACAACGTTGCCTACCATGTCAAGATCCAGTGCTCAATCCCCAGTACCATGATAAAAACGTTTAGTTTAGTCAAAGCAGGTGTGATATGGGCTGTGATGGAGCACGCCCAATCCCAGTAGCTGAGGCAGGAAGATTGCGAGTTCAAAGCCAGTCTCAGCAACATAAGAGAGACCATAAGAAGTTTATCAAGACCCTATCTCAAAGTAAAACAATTTCTAAACATATGTATGAGGATGTGGTTTGCAGCAGGGGGTGGGGGTGGGGAGCCCCAATCCAGCGAGAGTGGCTGTGGATTCCCCAGGTTACCCCTTGGCTGTAGCTGAGAAACCACTGCCCTTTCACTCTTCACTCTCTAGGCATTAAGGCTGCAGGCCATGCCCTAGACCCTTCAATACTGTTGACTTTTGTGTGTGTGTGCTGGGAATGAATCCAGGAGTGCTTTACCATTAAATTACATCCTCAGCCCTTTTTATTTTTAGAGATAGGTTCTCACTAAATTGCTTAGGGCCTGGCTAAGTTGCTAAGGCTGGCCTTGAATTTGTGATGCTCCTGCCTCAGCTTCTAGAGTTGGCGGGATTATCTGTGTGCTCCATCATGCCTGGCCAGAACTGTGAACTTTTTAATGTAAAGTTCTATGCTTTTTATTTATTTTTCTTTTTTGCAGTGCTGGGAATGGAATTCAGGGCCTTGTGCCTGCTGGGCAAGTGCTCTACTGCCACCCCCAACCTGTGCGGGCAGCTGAACTTAAGATCGCTCGCGTGAATTTGCAGGGACACCAAGTAAAACACAAACACACTTTATCTTTACACAAGCTTCAGGACGGCTTCTCTGCTCTTGGCCTCAGGCTCTCCAAAAGCGAGAGAGCGAGCACATTCGGAAGTGAGCTTTTATTGAGGGGACTCTTTGTTCTTAGAAAGTTCTATCTAAGAAAGGCCAGAAGGGGCAGGGTTACAAGGGACACATGAGTGTAACTCAACCCTCGTGGGTAATGCCTACATCTGAAGATGCCTTTGCTCTCAGAGCTGGGACAACGCCCAAGTCACCACAAATGTAGATTGGTCAGAGCCCCTTGCTTCAGGACTGGAAGGCATGGGTCATTCAGAGTGGCTCCCCACACTCTACCACTGAGCTACATCCCCCAGCCCTATATAAAGTGTGTGAATGACCCCCTTATGGCCCTTAAAGAGTCACACTTAGAAGATAAGTACAGATTTGATAGTTTATTAATAAGCAGGAGTGATTGAAAATGCCTCTGTAAAGCTGTCCAGCTGCCATGGTCCATTTTCAGTGTGTTCACACTGCTGTTGGACAGGAAGGATCGTCAGTCTTGGCACAGATGGCTGGAAGATAGTTGTGCACATTCACTGAGGGGTTCCAATGATAGGGAAGGATGCAAAGGCCAGTGAGTGGAACCAACAGGGCTGACTGTGAGGAGGGCAGCTCAGGCTGGAGACCAGGGGCTTGAGTGGGAATGGGGCTGAGACCAACTGGCCTTGTCTACTCTGACTGCACCTTCCCTGTTCCTATTCTCAACCCCCAAAGGCTCAGTGACCTGGAGATAACTTTTTTTTGTGTGTTAAGGATAGAACCTGGGGTGCTTTATCACAGCCACACCCCCAGCCAGTTTTTATTTATTTTGAAACTGGGTCTTGCTAAATTGCTCAGGTTTGCTTTGAACTTCTGAATCTTCTGCCTCAGCCTCCCAAGCAGCCATTTTTGTATTTAAAATACATCTTTTTGCACCCCAGCCCAACTCAAAGGGAGCAAAGAAATCTCAAAACAAAACTAAGGAGCCACATAGAAATAAACCAACCCTAATCCTGGAAGCAGCACTTAATTCTGCAGTTGTTCCAGGGCCACTTTTCAACACCATGAGGGAAGGAGGCTTCAGCACAGCAACAATGGTGTCTCTAGCCAGAAATTCCACCTTCCTCTTTCAAAGACTCCAGACTTACGCTTTCCAAGGACAGGATGTGGATTACGCCCAGCTGACTTCTCCAGGAACAGACCTACACTTTCTTGACACTCTGTCCAACCTATCACTGCATCCCCAGGGCTTGTGTAGTAGTCCCTAGCCCAGTGGATGATCACAGCAGGAAGGCAAGAAACACTGTTGAATTAAATACTGGCAAGTATCCAAGTTCACCAAATGTCACTTTTTTTTTTGTTTTGTACTAGAGATTAAACTGAGGGGCACTTAATCACATCCTCAGCCTTTTTCTTTATTCTACTTAACAGACAAATCTCTGAGTTGCTTAGGGCCTCACTAAGTTGCTGAGGCTGGCTTTGAACTCTTGATTCTCCTGCGAGGAGGGCAGCTCAGGCTAGAGACAGAATCAGCAGGGGCTTGAGTGGGGGTGGGGCTGAGACCATCTGGCCTTGTCTACTCTGACTGCACCTTCCCTGGCCCACCCTCCCAATATTTTAGCAAACACTAACCACTTCTGAGCCTGCCTTATACATCAGCTCTTACCCCATCTCTACCCAGCTCAGGGAACAATCCCAACACCTTCCTGTTCAGCCTAGACCACTGGGGCGGGCATGAGCTGTGTGCCAGGACCTCCAGCTGTGCCAGGGACCAGGTGTCTGCTGAGTGCCAGACTAGTTAAATCATGATACACATTTCTCTTTTTCAGTACTAGGGTGAGCCCAAAAGGCACTCTACCACTGAGCTACCTCATAAGCACTTTTTATTTTGAGACAGGGTCTTGCTAAGTTGCTGGCCCTGAACTTGTGATTCTTTTGCAGTTACAGGTTTGAGCCACCTCTTCTGAGATAGGGTCTTGCTAAGTCATCAAGGCTAGCCTTGCAATTTCAAGACTCTTGCCTTAGCCACCTGAGTAAGCCTAAGCAGAAATTTTAGTGTTTGAAAAAACAAACAAAAACCCACCAAGACTCTTAAATCAGCCCTGTCAGTGCCCTTGATTCATTGTGTTCCGAAGGATTTGACCACACTGATGAAGCCAACTGACTCTAGTCACCCCTGCTGAGCCACATGCAGAAGGCTGTCCGAACTCAAAGAAATGACCACAATTTAGGTTTTAAATATCTTTTGCAGTAGATAATCTTATTTACATTAATACATAATCACTTTACATTCTTAAATCAGACCCTAACAAATGCTTTAATGTTGTAAATTATAAAGAGAAAAAAGGAAACTACTGAGAAGTGTTCTTCATTAACCTGCATTACGCTAGCTCTAGCTTGTGGCCCTTGAAATGAAGAAACCACAACATGCTACCAGCAGTGTCTAGGGACAGGGCGTTTGCTCTGACTGCACGGTGCAACCTTCTTGGCTGAGGTTGTGCTTTCTTCTTCAAACACATAGGAAAAGACAATGATTCTCAGCACTGAGTAATCTGAACATGCATGTAAGTGGGGAGAACCAGGCCCCTGGGCTGACATGGCCTTTTGAGGTAAGGCTTTTTGAGTTACCTCAGTGAGCCAGGTCTGCCCAGCAGAGCTACAGCTGCCATGGCTCAGGACGGCAGGAGGCCCTCCACTCCCATTGCCCAGACAGCGGGACAAATGACGAGTAGAACCTCCAGGATCCTTTGGCCTTTCAGTGTGGCTGCCCAGGCCCCCAGCACCCACTTTCCAGCGGCTTGGTACCTTGAGGAATTAAAAACCAACTCCAAGAGGAGTGACTGATGTCTCTGCAGAGGCTGTTAGCGGAGGACGGTTCCTGGGGAAGCCAACCTGTCAAGAAGGACTCATTCTGGGACCTCTGGAGGTTTGCTGTGAGAGAAATTAATCACTTCACAACTTGGTACAGTTTAAGGCTTCATTTTTAAGCTGTGAGCATGGCCTTTAATTCTTTTAACTAAGATTTCCACATTTGATTCCAGATTTGAGTTTTAGTACTGCAAGAAGAGTCCAACTGCCTTATCCTGCCTGAGCCAGAAGAGGCAAGTCACCTACCCATGGACAGGAAACTTCCACTAGTCCCTGGATGCTACATTTTACTGTCCAGGGGCTGTCCACCATGGCCTTTCCTGTAGAGGTGCTGTCACATGGTTTTGCTGTTGCCAGGCAGTCCTGAGGGCTCTGTAGGCCAGGTCTCAGGGCTGCTGTTCAGGAATCCTCCCATCTCTGAGGTGCCTTGGCCACCAGAAGAGGCTGCTGCTCCTGGCCTAGTTTCCAGTGGACCGTTTTCCTAAGCCAGGGAGACAAACAGTTACATGTCAGATGCCAGAACACATCCCTGTGGAAGAGCTTTCATTCACATTTGGGAAGTGGCTGTGCAGACAGGGTCAAAAGTCCTTAGCACCAGGGATGAGCATAAAAGTCTCTGTGTCCAGAGACACTGCAAGTGCTATGCCTACAGCAGCCCCCAGGTTTGCACAGTGCTGCACTGCCCAGGCAGGATGGGCAGCCATGAAGCAGGGGGGAAGTGGAGGAGATCTGAGTTCTAGGCCTGGCTCCACCACAAGTTGTCCTCTGTGACCATGGACAAGCTGGTCCTACCACTGTGGGACAGAGAACCCCTGGGAACTGGTGTAGGAGCATCATGAGGCAGCCTCCCCAAACACAAGCTCTCCAGTAGAGTCTGAACTGAGTTCAAACCCAAGAGGCCAGCTACTGCAGCCTGGCTCAGCCCTGTACTGAGTGGCTGCCACACTCTGCTTCCATGGGTGGAGAGGCTGTTAGATTTACCATGCCTCCAACTGGTATCTCTTCCAGCTCTTTTGATTGGGTATGGGGTATGATGTTGGTTAAAGTGAGAGAAAACAGTGATTAGTTCATAGAGGGAAACAAAGGGAAGGAACCTCACAAGTTTTCCTACCTCGGCTGGGATATCAGGAGGTAAACATTTTCTTAAGTTTGGAAAGGAATCCCTCGTCCTCCCCAGCCTCACTCCTAGCCTTGCTTCCTGTGGAGCTATCCATGGTCCTGCCACCTGGGCACAAACAGCAGAAAGAACCGGGGTCAAGGGGTCAAGGGCACACACCTCCAGGTGTCACATCCCAGACTCCCACCTACCCACACCTGGCTACCAGGGGCCTGGCACTTGAGAAACGTCCAAGCACCACCTCTAGAAGAGTGGGGACCACTCCCAAGCTGGCAAGGGCTGTCTCAACTGGTCAAGCTACAGTTTACACACATTGTAATCTTTAGGATAAGCTTATAGGTAAATTTAGATGGGCAAAAAAACAACAGGGATACAGAGAGGGTAGGTGGTCTACCCAAGGACACAGAGCCAGCTAACAGGAAGTAGAGCTCAGTTCAAACCCAAGCTGCCTATCTCCAAAGCTTAGGCTCTTAACCATCTATCCAACTGGCCAGAAGGCAAGTAATACCAAGAAAAGATCCTATTTCTAGGACTACTGAACCAGGTTCCATACTGTGCATGTATGCCAAAACACACCCCCTAGCAGTGAGGGGCCCACTGCCACACTGATCCCTCTGATGTGTACATTTCATTTCATCTATCACAACACCTGTGGGGAGTCTATGTCTCCCCAAGCAACCTCCTCACACCTAGTACCTATAATCCCTGCTGCTCTGGAGAAAGGGCAGTTGGGCTGATGTTTCTTTAGGGCCCAGGCCAGGACTCCCAAGGAGGTGCTGCAAAGATGTGTTACTTTAAGGATCTATAAGGTCTCAATAGCCCCAGTGTTCTAACTGCAGGGCATATTCTCACTGTGCCAACAGAGTGAAAATGGTCAGTCCCCAAGAGCTTAGTCTGAATCAAACAAGGCCTTGGAATGAGAAGCCCATAGCTCAGAGTGACAGTCCCCAAGCAGGGGTAGAGCAGGGTCCCTAGGGTACAGGAAAAACAGTGGGACCAAGGATCATTCCTCTGATCTAGCATGTTCTCAAAGCTCATGTGCGTCCTCAGAGAAGGAATGGGGACCCAAGCAACACACTGAGATGTAGGCAACTGTCCAAACTACTGGGGCCACGTCCAAGTTTAAGAGCTGCACATTGAGGACCTGGCTCTGTACAGCACACAGCATGCCTCAGAAGCTGCCTTGAGGTCAAGAAGCCAAGTGAGGCCTCTCTCAGTTCTTCCCATCCCCTTCTTACAAAATGGATTCTAACACAATGTATCCACAAACCACAAGTTTTACTCCTATGCCTCCCAAGACAAGGGCAAACAGGATTTTTTAATTTTGTTAATGTCCTTGGTAAGTGAAGAGCAATCCTGGTGTGCGATAAGAGTGTGGCAAATTATGAGCTGTTGCTGATGGAGCTTCTCATATGTGCTAGGTATTATGCCAGAGGCTTTACCCACATGACCTCATTCAAACACACACAGCAACCCTGAAGTAGCTCTTAACTACTATTATCTCCTGCTTACAGATGATGAAACTGAAGTTCAGAGAGGTAATGATTTACCTAAATCTTCACAGTTACTGACAACAGAGCTGGGATATGGATTATCTGATATCCGGACTCAAGCTCTTAACTAATCAAGTGGGGCACAAAAACACTCAGCAACTGCTGTCGCCCACTTTCCTTGTCCCCTGGGTGAAAAGGATAACAGTTAGGGGACTCTTTTCTTAAACCAAGGAGACAGTTACATTTCTGATGCCAAAATACATCCCTGTGGGAGAGCTTTCATTAATCCCTGGAAAATGGCTATGCAGAGAAGGTCAAGAGCCCCAGCACTAGGGATGAGCACAAACATCCCTGTGTTCAGAGACACTGCAGTGTTCCAGTGCTATGCCCATAGCAGCCCCCAGGTTTGCACAGTGCTGCACTGCCCAGGCAGGATGGGCAGTGGGACAAGAAATAGCTTGTGCTCCATGGTCACAGCTGTACTTGAGCCACAGTGCTCAAGGTCTGGGAGAGCTAGAACAAGCACCTGGTTAGCTGGTTAGTGGCACAAAGAGTGCACGCGTGCACGCGTGCACACACACACACATACACACAAGCCACACAACAAAAACCAAGCCAGGTATGGTGGCACATATGTGTAATCCACTGATTTAGACTGTGAGGTAGGAGGACTTCAAGTTCAAGGCCAGCCTTGGCAATTTAATGAGAACCTATAAAAAATAAAAAGGACTAGGGATATAGCTTAGTGGTAGACTGCTTGCCTGGCACTCAGGTGGCCGCAGGTTTAATTCCTCATAACAAAACAAAAAGACATGTACGCAAAGATTCTTCTCACCTTCTACTCCTGGAGTAGCACTCTCAGCTCTATTTTATTTTATTTTCTGCAGCACTTGGGGGTGAACCCAGTACATTACATATACCACTGGCCTGAACTACACCCCAGCCCCAATTCTATTTTATTTTATGTTTTTTATTTTTATTTTTTAAGAAGAGAGGGAGGAGGCAGTCACATTCGATTTAGAGCTTAAAGGTTGAGAAGGGTTTTCTTTCTTTCTTTTTTTTTTTTAAAGAGAGAGAGAGAAAGAGAATTTTTTAATATTTATTTTTCAGTTTTTGGTGGACACAACATCTTTGTTTGTACGTGGTGCTGAGGATCAAACCTGGGCCGCACGCATGGCAGGCGAGTGCACTACCACTTGAGCCACATCCCTAGCCCCCCAATTCTATTTTAAATAGGGCTCAAGGGGAAGAGGCTTCTTCAGGAATAGGATTTACTAGTGGAGAGATCAAAAGACATGAAGAACTGACTTTAGCATACAGATAATCAGGTCTGTAAATACACTACTTCCTCTCTCTCTCTGAGCCTGAGAACTAGCTGGGGTAGAAGAAGGAGTCCCTGCAGGATATCTGGGCCACTCAGGACACAAATGTGAGAGCTTTACTTCCAAAGCTTCTCTAAATAAGGTTGGTACACAATGCACTTAAAAAAATAAAACAAAAACAGGAACTGCACCACTGGAAGTTGGTTCTAGCTGAAAGGGCTGCACAGTGCTTCTGGCATACAACAGGATCCAGTGAAGGTCCAGGAGTCTTCCCAACACACCATTAGTGCCTCCTGGAGAAGGGTTTCTATGCTCATCTCTCCCTCAGACACTTCCCAGCCAATGGTTAGGAAAACAGATCCAGATAAACTCATCCAAAGTTATTGTGGAGTCAGGCTTGTGCCAAGCACTGGGCAAGGTGCCAGGGACACAAAGAGGAAATGAGCTGGATTAAGTGGCACACACCTGTAATCCCAGCAGCTTGGGAGGCTGAGGCAGGAGGATGGTTCAAAGCCAGCCTTAGCAATTTAGCAAGGCCCTAAATAAAAAATAAAAAGGGCTGAGGCTGTAGCTCAGTGGTTAAGTGCCTTGGGGTCCAATCCCTGGTACACACACACACAAAAAAAAAAAAAAAGAGAGAGAGAGAGAGAGAGACAAAGAGAGAGAGCTGGGGTTGAGGCTCAGCAGTAGAGGGCTCGCCTAGCATGTGTGAGGCCTTGGGTTTGATCCTCAGCACCATATAAAAATAAATAAAAGTATTGTGTCCAACTACACTAAAAAATAAATAGTAAAAAAGAGAGAGCGAGCGAGCGAGCGAGATAGATAAAGGTCTAACACTTATTTGTTGTAGGCAAAGTTTTTCAATGCTTGTTCTAAATTCCCCAGTTACAGAGTACACTTGATGAGGATAGGGGCCCCATCTCTTCATATATAATTTCTCAGACTGTAGTTAATGCTAAATGGACATTTTTGTGCAGGAACCAAGGCCAAAAGGACTCCAGGATCTGGTTTCTGAGAAAGGGGCCACCCCACAGTGGAGAGGGGCAACCCACCCTCACAGCCTGACTCAGCTCAGGACTGCCTCCCACTTTCTATATCTTCTCCCTCACCTTCCTCTTACTTTCACCTTGCGTAAAGGAGACATCCAGGAGCACTTTTGGCCTTGGTAGAGATAAAAAATGGTGTAGAAAATTCCAAAATCACTTGTATTGAGCTCCGGAACATGTTTCTAACTTATAGCTAAATAAATGTGTGTGTCCACAAGAATTAATTATACTCAAAACAATGAACCACATTGTGTCCCTAACTCAAAAAAATCACACAGTAACTGCAAACTACCCCACTGCCTGTGCTTTTTGCCAGATGTACCCACTGAGCACTGACAGTGCTGAGCTCCCAAATATTCTACAGTCTTCTGGCTTCATAGGCTGAAAGAGAGACTACAGTCTGATAGCATTAGGACACAAAAATAACCAAGAGATATTAAATTTGTTAAAATCTTTAGGCTGAAAGTGTGGCTCAGTGGCAGAACATGTGCTTGGCATACACAAGACCCTGGTTCCACCACTAGCACCAAAACAAAAACAACAAAACAACTTTAGGCTGTTTTATGTAGACCTAAAGCCTAGACACTTCCACCGGACTTCTATATACCCTTTTCCTGTGATGAAAGCAAGTCTTCAAAGACACTCAGGAATTGATCTGTATCTGCAAACATTGATCTGTACCTACAACATCTCTCACTAGGCTTTCTAATGATGCTCCAAATCACGAGTACATAGAAAGTTCTGTGTGTGTGTGTGTGTGTGTGTGTGTAGTGGGGATACATGCTCACATGTTAGGCTATACCCTCAAAGGGCTATTAAAAAGTGACATTAGGGGCTGGGGTTGTGGCTCAGTGGCAGAGTGCTTGCCAATATTTAAAAAAAAGTGACATGAAGACTGGAAATATGGCTCAGTGGTAGAGTGTTTATATAACATGTATGAGGCACTGGGTTCTATCAGTAGCACTCTAATACCTTTATCCCACAAACCATTACTAAGCGAATGCAAACTGCTTATGGTACAACTTTAGTTTTATTGAATGCTTGACCCAGTCTAATTAAATAAATAAAGCCTGTTATTAGTGCAGTTGCTCAGAAATGGGTATTATATGAACTATAATGTTTTCATACGTAGATTGCAGAAGTAACTTTTTTCATGATCTAACGAGAGGCCTACCCACAAACAGGTAGCAAACCGACAGCATATTCTCTCTCTCTTTTGAGTTGTAGATGGACAGAATGCCTTTATGTTATGTTCATTTCTATGTGGTGCTAAGGATTGAATCCAGTGCCTCATGCATGCTAGGCAAGCGCTCTACAACCCTGGTCCCCTCAGTCCCTTTTTATCTTCTTTTTGAGAGAGGGTCTTGCTACATCTCCTATGCTGGCTTCAAACCTGTGAACCTCCTTCCTCAGCCTTCCAAGCAGCTAGAATTATAAGTGTGCACCATCACACCCAGGTCCAACTCTGAATTCTTTTTGTTGGGGGTACCAGGGATTGAACTCAGGGGTACTTGACCACTGAGCTACATCCCCTATTTTGTATTTTATTTGGAGACAAGGTCTCACTGAGTTGCTTAGCACCTCACTTTTGATGAGGCTGGCTTTGAACTTTGTGATCCTCCTTCCTCAACCTTCCAAGCTGCTGGGATTATAGGAGTGTGGGAGTGTGCCACCACACCTGGCCCAACTCTAGATCCTTTTTTTTTTTTTAAACAAGAAATTAAACAATCGATCAATAAATATATGAAAAAAATGTTCAGCGGCTGGGCTTGTGGCTCAGTGGTAGCATGCTCGCCTAGCATGCATGAGGCACTGGGTTCAATCCTCAGCACCACATAAAAATAAAGACAATAAAGTCCATCAACAACTAAAAAAAATATAAAAAAAAAAAAGAAAGGAAAGAAAAAATGTTCAGCATCTATAGTGATTACAGAAATGCAAATCAAAACTAACCTAAGATTTCATCTCACCCTAGTCAGAATGGCAATTATCAAGAATACAAACAACAATAAACGTTGGCAAAGATGTGGGAAAAATTCATACATTGTTGGTGGGACTGCAAATTGGTACAACTATTCTGTCTGGAAAGCAGTATGGAGATTTCTTGGAAAACTTGGAATGGAACCACCATTTGACCCAGTTATCCCACTCCTCAGTCTATATCCAAAGGATTTAAAATCAGCAAACTACAGTGATGCTGCCACAATAATGTTTACAGCAGCTTGATTCACAGTAGCAAAACTGTGGAACCAACCTAGATGCCTTTCAATAGATGAAGGATAAAGAAACTGTAATGTATATACACAATGGAATATTACTCAGCATTAAAGAGAATAAAATTGGCATTTGCAGGTAAATGGATGGAGTTGGAGAATATCATGCTAATAAGTGAAGTAAGTCAATCCCAAAAAACCAAAGGCCAAATGTTTTCTCTGATGAGCTGATGCTGATCCATAATGGGGGGTGGGGGACATGGGAAGAATGGAGAAACTTTGGATAGGGCAAAGGGGAGTATGGGGAGGGGAGAGGGCATGGGGGTAGGAAAGATGGTAGAATGAGATGGACATCATTACCCTGGCATATGTACGATTGCACAAAATGGTATGACTCTATATCATGTACAACCAGAGAAATAAAAAGTTTTGCTCCATCTGTGTACAATGAATCGAAACACATTCTACTGTCATGTATAAAAAAACAAATAAAATAAAACCTAAAAAAAGGCCCAAAAATTATTTTTAGTTGTCAATGGACTTTTTTTATTTATATGCAGTGCTAAGAATTGAATCCAGCCTCACACATGCAAGTCAAGTGCTCTACCACTGAGCTACAAGCCCAGCCCCAATTCTAAATTCTTAAATGCCTTTTGCAAAATTATGGCTGGGAGCCAAAGTTTCCATTGGAATGCATCTCTGAAAATGACAATAGAAGTGAATAGAAAGAGTCTGTCATCCCAGCAGCTCAGGAGGCTGAGACAGAAGGATCATGAGTTCAAAGCCAGCCTCAGCAAAAGCAAGGTGCTAAGCAACTCAGTGAGACCTTGTCTCTAAATAAAATACAAAATAGGGCTACGGTTGTAGTTCATTGGGCAAGTGCTCCAATTTCAATCCCTGGTACTCTCCCCTAAAAAAAGAAGTGAGTAGAAATAAATATAATTTGGTATACCCATTTCACTTTTTTTTTTTTTTAAATATTTATTTTTCAGTTTTCGGCGGACACAACATCTTTGTTTGTATGTGGTGCTGAGGATCGAACCCGAGCCGCACGCATGCCAGGCAAGCACGCTACGGCTTGAGCCACATCCCCAGCCCCCCCATTTCACTTTATAAGCAACTTTTCAGAGGTTAAACAAAACTCAGCAAAATTAATGTCATCAAGAATCTCGAGGGCTGGGGTTGTAGCTCAGTGGTAGAGCGCTTGCCTTGCACGGTGAGACATTGGGTTTGATTCTTAGCACCACAAAAAAATAAATAAATAAAGGTATTGTGTCCATCTACAACTGGAAAAAAAAAAAAAAAGAATCTCAAAAAGAAGAGCTGACATCTGTCACACAGGAGGCTCCAAATAAATCCTGGTAGAATGAGGGAACTGGCCATCAGGGCTAGGAACCACAAAAATAACGAAGTTTCCAAGGACACTCACAAACAAACTACATAATCAACTCTCAAGCTATCAGGGGAGATTTAAAACAAGTGGGAGCCACTAAATTCCTAATAATTTTTTTCTTTTCTTTTTAGTCCTGGGGATTGAATCCAGGGTTATTTTATCACTGAGCTACATCCCCAGCCCTTGTTTTTTTTTTATTTTGAGACAGGGTTTTACTAAGCTGCTAAGGCTGGTCTTGAACTTGCAATTCTCCTACTTCACCTTCCTGAGTAGCTGGGATTACAAGGATGTGTCATTGCTCCTAGCTTAATACCCAACATTGTAACATGGTAAAACACCAATACCACCAAGGCCATACCTAGCCAACAGTGAGGCCTCTTGTTGGCAGGAGAGAAGGAGGACAACTGGGTACAGAACAAATGTCACATACCACACAACTACAGGAACATGTAGGTTTAAGGAAGAAGCCAGAGGTGCATACCAGAGTTTTGTAGAATAACCAGTCCCACTTTTTTATTAGTTCAGGAAATATAACAAGCCAGGCACAGTGGTACATGCTTATAATACCTGCTACTCAGTAGGCTGAAGCAATTTAGTGAAACCCTGTCTAAAAAAAAAGGGAAAAAAAAAAAAAAAAAGGCTGGGGACCTAGCTTAGTGCTTGCCTAGCCCAACCCTCCACTTCACTGGTAAATCTGCTCCCAGCTCTGAACATCTGCTCTAAGACCATTTGAGTTCTGGGAACTCCATCCAGGATCCAGACAAAAACTGATGCAATGAGGAAGAAACATGCATAGTCTGAGCCACTGACCTTATGGGCACGGCCTATCCTGACATGACCTGGGTCCCAATCAATCAAGGTCCCCAACCCCCATAAGAAGAGGGACAGCAGCTGTGGGTGCCATTGTTGAAGCTCTGACTGGCAAATATGCTCTCTCTCTTTTTTAATACTTTGTATAATGAACTATATTTAAACAATATAATGACATGGTTACATTACTCATACATACAGCCACATACGCAAAAGATTAAATAAACCAAATCTGCAAAGAAGTTTCAGTTTACTTGAACTAAGTTGGATTGAGATAATTTGTGACACTAATTTGAAACATTCCTGTTTGTACTGATTTCTAATCTCATTTCTATAAAAAATCTGAACTTTTTTTCTTTGAAATAGTATCAAATATGCTCTCTTAAACCACCAACATTCAACAAAACTGCCAATGGCAGGATCTCTACATTCAGTGTGACATATTTATTCCCTGCCAAATGAATTCAAAGTTACCCTGCTCTAAAAGAAAGACTGAACTCCGACTTCAGTTTTTCCTGCCCTGTGGTTACTGTTGTTTACAAGACATTCTGGAATCCGGGTGAAGTATTCTAGCCCAGAAAAGCACAAATCTGTTCCATTTGTCTTTTTATTTTACTTTTTTTTTTATAAGCACTCTACTGACTAAGCTATATTCTTAGCCCTGATCTGTAATCTTTTTTTTTTTTTTTTAATATTTTATTTACATTTTAGTTTTCGGCAGATACAACATCTTTGTTTGTATGTGGTGCTAAGGATCGAACCCGGGCCGCACGCATGCCAGGGAGCGCTACCGCTTGAGCCACATCCCCAGCCCCTTTATTTTACTTTTTGGGTGCTAGGGTTTGAACCCAGGGGCACTTTATCACTAAGTTGCATCCCATCCCCTTTAAAAAAATTTTAAAAATTTTACTGATGCTTTAACCCAAGAGTACTTTACCACTGAATTACATCTCCAGCCCTTTTCATTTTTATTTTTTATTTTGAGGCAGGGTCTTAGTTGCCCAGGCTGACCTGGAACTTTTGATCCTCATGCCTTAGCTTCCATAATGGCTGGAATGATAGGTGGTGTGCACCACCTTGCCTGGCTCATCTGTTCCTTAACACTGTTGTGAGAAACTTTCATGGAAGGATGTGCCCAAGGTCACAAGACAAGTGGCAGAACCAATCCTAGAACTCAGAATACCAGCTCTGAGACACACAGAGCTGCCTGGGACAGGAAACACTCCAGTGCTATCCTCAGCACACAAACACAGAGAAAGGAAGAGGCCACAAGTCCGCTCCAGCTATGTCTACCCACAGCTCCCCTTTTTCAACAGAGCTTTTTAGGGGCTTCATGAAGACCCAAGTGGAAACCCAAACATGCTGCCTATCCAACCGCTAAGGGATTCAGAGGACCCCTCATGTCTGCACCTCCAGACCCCTTACCAGTGCTTGTGTGGGTGACACCATTTACTGTCCCCTCCACATCTGTCTCGTCCTCAGCATAGCTCAAGATGAGGCTCTGCTGCCGGCTCGTCAACCTCCTGTGGACCAAGCACAGTAAACCTCTCTTAGGACACACATGCAGCCACATTCCCTCACAGCATATAAGAAACGTGGGACCCAGACCCAAACCGGACACCTGAGCTAGTGATGAGATCCTGGCTCCTATGAAGCTCAAAGCTCTTACAAAGAAGAGCTCCTAAAATACCCTAAGTTCTTTAAATAACTGTCACTGCAGCTATGACAGACACAATTTGCTAGGGGCAAAGAAGGGCTTATAAGTGTGTGTATGAAACAGGTAAGAAATTATCTAATTCATCTCAGAAAAAAAGAATGAGGGTCAGAAGAGCAGATGGGCACACCCTGCCCTGGATGCCCACAGCAATACAGCAAGTGCTAAGCATCTCTTATGTGTCATTCGACAAGGTGGACTCATTACATCCAATTTGCAGATGGGGAAAGTGGGGTTGGACACATCTGACTTCATGGAGACATGACCAATAAGCCAAAAGCATATGGGGCATCTGAGCTGCTGGGGCAGGACCTGGCAGGTGAAAGGCTCAGCAGGCACCTGCTTGGTAGATGAGTGATGGACAAGCGTGGGGCTGGTAGGTGGGGCTGGTAGGTGGCTATGGTCTATTTAGGGTGCTTACTTTGGAACTCGGATCTTGACATGAATGTAGTGGTCACCATAGCCATAGCTATTAATCCGGGGGATTCCTTTCCCAGTCATGCGAATCTTCTGGTCTGTCTGAATCCCAGGGGGAATCTACAGAGAAAAGAAAGTGGTGGTGCTCCCTGGTTCCTGCTGCCCCAAAGTAAACCTTTTCACTACACAAAGGCCATCTTGAAAGGACTCCTTGCACTTGGGTTACTGGAGCAAGCCTGTGATCACCCAAAAACTGGCTGAACTGGGTCCATGAGGCATAGCCTACAACCAGGACTTGGGGGCAGTTCTGGGTGGTAAGCAAGAGTGAGTGTTAGACCTGGGAAGAGAAAAAGCCAACACAGGATGCAAGGCTGGGTTTATACTCCCTGGCCCTCTATGAGCTGGATGCCAATGGACACTATCTCCATGGGCAAGTGACTCCAAAGTCCCCCACACCCAGAGATTAAAGAAGGTCCTAGGTAAATAAAGACAATAGTGGGACCTGGAGGAAAGGGTAAGGGGTGTGGGTGAGCATAGGAAGCTACCATTATATGTGTGACTGAAATCAGAAGTGGCCAAGGAGAAGAAATGTAGCCCAAGAGGCATTTGCTCTTGTTGCCAGATATTGAAGGAAACAGCAAAGAGCACCTACTGCAATGATACACTTCTTTTTCAATATTTTTTTGTCAATGGACCTTTTTTGTCAGTGGTGCTGAGAATCAAACCCAGTGCCTTATGCCACATGCTAGGCAAGCACTCTACTACTGAGCCTCAACCCCAGCCCACAATGATACACTTCTGCATCATAGGTGCACTCAGTTCCTGAGACCCACTGAACAACAGAGAAGGGGAAGCCAGCCAGAACCTGCTCTCCAGAGTTATCCAGTCACTGCCTGGCCTGTGACTCTCACTCAAGGAACAGCCCAAAGCTCCTAGTGCCCATCTCCAAACCAGAATCCACAATATGCCAGAGGATCACAGGTATCAGGATGCATATCAACCATTTCCCAATTCAGAATAAAGAGCAAAAAAATACCAGATGGCAAAGACATCTCTGTATCATCTTACCGTCACATTGATTGTCTCATATAGGCCCTGGGCTCTGGCAGTCCCCCCAAGAATAGCTTGAGCTATAGAAATAAAGAGGTCGGAGTGGATGTCTGCGCCGTCCCTCCGGAACACAGGGCTCTTCTGCACCTAAGGCCAAACACAAGATGAGGTGACCACTGAAGAAGTCCTGCCGGAGGCTAGACATCAGCACATGTCTCACAGACCCTGCACTTACAGCACAATATCAAGAGAAAGAACTGCACTCAACAAACGCTGCAGACCCCAACCTCCACAATCACACATGGTGGGGGAACATCTGAACTTCCTTAGTCCATTGTTTCATTGTGAAGGGAAATAAGAACATGAGGTTGGCTTTTTTTAAACTTCATTTTATACATTTATTAGTTTATTTATTTATTTAATGTGATGCTGAGGATTGAACCCAGGGCCTCACACATGCTAGACAAGTGCTCTACTACTGAGACACAACCCCAGCCCATGAGGTTGCTTTTTGAACATTTTTTAAAATGGTATGGAGAAACACAGACTAATACATCTGCAAAGGTGAAAATAACTTGATAAATGCTGCCTCCGAGACAGACTGGCAGCACTAGAGTTGATTCCATTTTATAAATACCATCTCGCATCTCAAAGACATCCTCTGCCATCAATAGTGTCTTTTTTTTTTTTTTTTAGCTTGCAGCACTGGGCATTGAACACCAGGTCGCTCTACCACTGACTACATCCCAGCCCTTTTTATTTTTTATTCTAAGATAGGTTTCCCTAAGTTGCTGGGCTGGCCTCAAAGTTGTGATCCTCCCACCTTTGCCTCCCAGGTATGTGCCTGGGATATCAGGTATGTGCCACCACACCTGGCAATGATTCCTTATTCTCTTCTTTCCCTCTATTATTAGATAGGAATACAAGCTGAATTCTATACCAAACTTTTTTTTTTTACACACTGGCTTCCAGCTTTCTGCCTTCATCTTTGATTTCATAGTCTAAAAGATTTACCCTTTACATTATTTTTACTTGTTTTTCTTTTCTGTGGTGCTGAAGATTAAACCTAGGGCTTTGCATATGCTAGTGTGCTTTTATTGTTGTTTTTTTGCGTGAGTACCGGGGATTGAACTCAGGGGCACTTGACCACCAAGCCACATCCTTAGACCTGTGTTCTCTATTTTATTTAGAGACAGGGTCTCATTGAATTGCTTTGTGCCTTGCTTTTGCAAAGGCTGGCTTTGAAATCGCAATCTTCCTGCCTCAGCCTCCCAAGCTGCTAGGATTACAGGCACGCATCACCAGGCCCAGCCTGTTTTTTTTTTGCTGCTGGGGATTGAACCCAGGGCCTTGTGCATGGAGGCAAACACTCTACCAACTGAGCTACATCCCCTGTCCTTTTTTATTTCACTTGTTTATTTTTATTTTTTTTTTAATGTGGTGCTGAGGATCGAACCCAGGGTCTCGCACGTTCGAAGCAGGCGCTCTACCGCTGAGCCACAATCCCAGCACCCCCAGTCCCTTTTTTTTGAGACAGAGTCTCACCATGTTGCCAGGCTGGCCCCAAACACTCAGCCTTAAGCAATCCTTCTGCCCTGTCCTACTTCAATAGCTGGCAATATAGGCATGCAGCACCATGCCTGACTGCCTTTGTTTTAAATTATGAAATACAACCAGAAAAAGGAAAAACAAATAATACAGCAAACACAGTGCACCCACAACCTGGCTCTGAGAACAAAACATGACAAATGAAATCAAATAGTCGCTGCTCCTCAGTAAACCAATAACCCAATTTGGAACTGCCATTCCAGCCAGCAGGCATTTACTTCTGCTGTGCATTTCCATGTCCTAAATAAATATAATCTGTCTTGTCTTGAAAACTCTGTATCCTGTGTTCCCCAGGCTATTGGGACCTGCTTCCCTGTCATGGGTAACGAGGCATCTTATGGTCACTTGTGACTCTCATTCTCTCCTCTGGAGGGCTCTATAGTATCTCTGTGACATAGCAGGGTGCAGTGTCCATTCTCTGACTTATTTGTTTTTATGTGGTTCCGGGGATTGAACCCAGTGCCTCATGCATGCCAGGCAACTGCTTTACCACTGAGCCATAATCCCGGCCCCCATTTGTATTTCTTCTTTTGAGAAGTGTCTGTTTAATTCATCGACAACTTAAAAAATTAAAAAAAAAAAAAAAAAGGGAGCGGGGGGCTGGAGTTGTGGCTCAGTGGTTGAGCGCTTGCTTCACATGCGTGAGGCACTGGGTTCAAACCTCAGCACCACACAAAATAAGTAAGTAAGTAAGTAAATAAATGGATGAATGAGAAAAGATTAAAAAAAAGAAAAGAAAGAAAAAACCATACCTTACTAAGGGCAATGGCGCATGCCTGTAATCCTAGCAACTAGGGAGGCTGAGGCACAGAATTGCAAGTACAGACTCAGCAACTTAGCAAGACCCTATGCAACTTAGAGAGAACCTGTCTCAAAATAAAAATTAAAAAGGGTTGGGAATTTACCTCAGTAAATAGTATCCTTGAGTTCAATATCTAGTACTAATAAATAAATAGATAGACACGATAGATGGCTTTTGCCATTCCTATCAACAATATGATATGTGAATAAAAACACATGGTGGGCTGGGGTTGTGGCTCAGTGGTAGAGTACTTGCCTAGCAAGTGAGAGGCACTGGGATAGATCCTCAACACAATATCTAAAGATATTGTGTTAAAAAAAAACAACACATGGAGGTGGTCTATTTTTTTTTTTGTTTTATGTTTCTAACTTTTAAACTCCATGAGGAAGTTTTATTCTCTTCACACTAAGCACAAAACCTGAAGAGCAAGACAGTTAATAACCATGTTGATGTGGCCCTTCTTCCCTTTAGAAATACAACAGCAAATGCCAGGTGCAGTGGCACACACCTGTAATTCCTGTGACTCGGGAGGCTGAGGCAGGAGGATCGTGAGTTCAAAGCCAGCCTCAGCAACTTCATGAGGCCCTAAGATACTCTGCAAGACCCTGTCTTTAGTAAAATATTAAAAAAGTGCTGGGGATGGAGCTTAGTGGCTAAGCATCCCTGGGTTCAATCTTTGGTATCAAAAAAAAAAAAGGAAAAAAGAAAAGAAAAGAAACACAACAGCAAGTCAAACACAGTGGCACACACCTATAATTCCAGCTACTCGGGAGGCTAAGGCAGGAGAAGCACACGTTTGAAGTTAACCTGGGCAACATAGCAAGACTGCCTCAAAATAAAAGGACTAGGGGTTGTAGCTCAGTGGTTGAGTACTTGCATACCATGTACAAGGCTGCAGGATTGAACCCAAGTACTATAAAAAGAAAAAAAAAAAAAATGCAACAGCAAGAGATATGCCACAAAGCTCCTACCTCATGCCAACAAGTAGCTTTTTACACCTGTAGCTACAGAGCAGAGTCCTAACAGAGGCTGTGCAGGCCAGCACCTACCCTGAATGTGACAAAAATTTCTCGTTTTCCCACAGGCATCCTCACAGTTTGGCCATCCTCGACTCCTAGAAGAACAAATTTCCAAAGAGAACAGTTATGGTGGAACACCCCATAGCACTTCCCAACCAAGACCCAATGATTAGCCATAGGCTTCCTTGCTCATTCCTGTTTCTTGTTAACGCTGGTCTCAACTAAAGACAGGGGACAGCAGAGAGAAAATGGTGAGATGGGAGTTGCTCTCCTACCAGGTGGGAACAGAACAAGCACATTTCAAGGATAAGTGAGTCAAGGGGAAATACTCTAGGAGATTCTAGTTCCTTCTCCAGCCTGGAGCCCTAAAGCCCTCCAGCTTCTGGCAATAGTCAAACACACAGGGCACAGTGGCTTTTGCCCTTTCCTGGGCATGGGGGGCCTGGGTACCTACCTGCAGGCACAGGGATCACTACTCGCTTTTTCTGCTTGGCTTGTCCTGCTCCTCTGCAGATCACACAGGGAGTTGTGATGATGGAGCCCCTGCCACCACATCTCCGACAGGTGGAACGCATCACAAAAGGGCCTGTATTGATGGTTTCCTGACAAAAAGGAGAGGGAAAATTGTATTTTTTTGGGGGGGCGGGGGAGATAATGGGGATTAAACTCAGGGTAACTCGACCATTGAACCAAATCCACAGACCTATTTTGTATTTTATTTAGAGACAGGGTGTCACTGAGTTGCTTAGTGCCTCACTTTCTGAGGCTGTCTTTGAACTTGTGATCCACCTGTCTCAGCCTCCTAAGCCACTGGGATTACAGGTATGTGCTATCACAACAAAAATGGTACCCTTAAATATGCAAGCAAACTGATGCATGAGAAAAACGTTTGACTAAAGGCTTCTTCTTTGTGTATTCATGTGCCCTAAAACACACTGCCTAAGAAAACAGACATGGGGGCTCACTGCCAGCCTGATTTTCTAGAACACTGACTTCTGGACTCTTGAATACTGATATGTTGATGTGATCTAAATAATGAGATACTTGCTTCTTTCTATCTGAACCCCTAAAGCTCAGCAACACATTTAAATATATTATTTCCCCACTAGTTACACTACCTTTGAGCTATATCCCCAGCTCCAGGAACTCTGTAAATATTGAATGTCTGTTAATAGGAATGCTTTCCACATGGTATGGGTTAACAATTCTAAAACTACTTTAGTGCTATAAAATTGAAGAATTTTTTTAAAAAATGAATATTTATAAAAATAAAATAAAATATAGTCCTAGGGAATAAATCCAGGGGCACTCCACCACTGAGCTATAACCCCCTGTTCTTTTTTTTTTCTTTGAGACAAAGTCTCACTGAGTTTCTCAAACTTTCATTCCTCTTGCATCAGCCTCCTGAGTTGCTGGGATTAAAGGGCTGCACCACCTTGCCCAACAAGGAAAACATATTGAGGATAATAGCAGCTAGATATCTGTTACAGAAAAAAAGGTGAAACTATCACTTGAACTCTTGGTTTTTGACAGATGTCAATGCATGCATGTGTGTACACATATATCTATACATGTGAACAGATGTATATACGTATCTACAAGTGACACACACATTGATTTCCTAGCTCAGTCAGCTGAGAAAGTTTAGAAGTAGTGTCACTCCAGGGGCCACGAGCATAAGGGGGATACAGACGTTGGTTTTCATGTCCCACTAGACACTAACAGGTACCACAGCTACAGGTAATACCTGACTCAAAGGGTGTAGCAGGGAGAGAACAAGTTCAGCCTGGAATACTCTGCCATGTGGAAGGTAAGGAAGTGCTGAAAGTATGGTTGGAACAAGTCAAAAGGACACAACAGTCAGATGGAAGGGACCTGGTATAGGCCAAGTTAGGGATAAGCTGAACAGCAAAGAAACTACTGATTATAACACAGTGAATAAAATAAGCATCCCTGACTTCATACTGATATAAACAAACAGGTAACTGGAAGAGAAGAAGTTCTTCCATCCAGTAGAATGCAGACAGGTTAACTGAATTAGAAAACTTGTCATTTAGCAACCATGATAGTCATGTGTGATTGAGAATGATCAAGGGATGCAAAAACCAATGGGTAAGTTTGATGAGGAATATGATACTTATAGTTTCAGGGTATTTCATCATAACATTTATTAATTTCAAAAGAAAGAATAGTAACTTTAAAGTAAAGAACCTGATAAACACTATTTTAACAAAGTAATCATGAACATGTGTAATGTCATTAGTATGAGACAAACTGACACCTAAAACTACTCATATGATCCACTGAAAAGGATAAATTGCCTCTGTGGGGTTTCTACCCAAAGCAATCTGAGTCTTTTTTTTTTTTCTTAAATATATTTTTTTAGGGGTTGGGGATGTGGCTCAAGTGGTAGCTTGCTCACCTGGCATGCCTGAGGCCCGGAGTTCGATCCTCAGCACCACATACAAACAAAGATGTTTGTCCACTGAAAACTAAAATAAATCTCTCTCTCTAAAAATAAATAAATAAAGAAAGAAAAAGCTGCTTTAAAAAAAAAAATATATATATTTTTTTAGGGCTGGAGATGTGGCTCAAGCGGTAGCGTGCTCGCCTGGCATGCGTGCTGCCCGGGTTCAATCCTCAGCACCACATATCAACAAAGATGTTGTGTCCGCCAAAAACTAACTAACTAAATAAATATTTAGGGCTGGGGATGTGGCTCAAGCGGTAGCACGCCCGCCTGGCGTGCGTGCGGCCCGGGTTCGATCCTCAGCACCACATACCAACAAAGATGTTGTGTCCACCGAGAACTAAAAAAATAAATATTAAAAAAAATTCTCTCTCTCTCTCTTAAATATTTAAAAAATACATATATATTTTTTTAGTTGTAGATGAACAGGATACCTTTATTTAATTTACTTATTTTTATGTGGTGCTGAGGATGGAATCCAGTGCCTCACACATGCTAGGCTCTACCACTGAGCCACAAACCCCAGCCCCACAATCTGAATCTTATCAAGAATCCAAATCAAAGGACATTCTATTAAACAACTGGCTTATAATCTTCAAAAAAGTCAAGGTCAAAGAAAAAAAAGAGCAGACTGAGAAATAGTTCCAGATTAGAGACTAAAGATATGATAATCAAATGCTACAGACATAAGGACACCTGCAAAAACTTGAAAACATACAGATAATGATATGGTATTAACATGAAGTTACCTGATTGAGAAAACTGTACTGTGGTTATGTAAGAGAACGTTTTTGTTAAGAACACACCATACATACTGAAATACTACACTTAAATACTTAGGAATCAAGAGATACAATGTCTTTCAGCCAGCCCAGTGAGTCAGCACAGGCCAGTAACCCCAGCATCTGAGGAGGCTGAGGCAGAAGGATCACAAACTGAAAGCCAGCCTCAGCAACTTAGTGAGAGCCTAAGCAACTTAGCAAGACTCTGTCTCAAAATAAAAAGGGGCTAGGGATGTGGCTCAGTAGTAAGGCCCCCAGGTTCAATCCCCAGGCCCCTCCCCCCAAAAGAGAGAAAAATACGCCTCATTTTCAAATAGTCTTCGGGTAGGGCAGTGACAGAGACACACCCAAAGAATGAAAAGGAACACATCAGAAGTGAAAAAGCAAATGTTTAACACAGGTGAGCCAGGCTAGGTGGTGCAGCCCCGTAATCCCAGTGACTCTGGAGGCTTAAGCAGGAGGATCACAAGTTCAAGGCCAGCCTCAGCAACTTAGTGAGGCCCTAAGCAACTTAGTGAGACCCTGTCTCAAAATAAAAAATTAAAAAAGGGCAGGATACAGCACAGTGTTAGAATAGTAGACCTGAGTTCAATCCCCAAAACAAAAACAACAACAAACAAACAAACAGGGTGAATGAGCAAAAGGTGGGAGACCATGGGGTCGGTGTGTGTGGGGGGTCCTCTCAGACATCTTACCATGCCAGAGCCGCCGCAGTAGTGACAATGCTGCACCTTGGTGCCGGGCTCATTCCCTTTTCCGTCGCAGCGCTCACAGGTGTCCATGATGTTCACAGTGAACTCCTTGTTGACACCCTTGGCAGCTTGATTGAAGGTTAACTCCATGATGTACTAAAGAAATCGAGGCATGACCTGTTAATGCTCTGCTTCCCAATGACCAAAGTGATGCTCTGCTATAGGAGGACACGAGGCCACTGGTCAGTACTTGTGTTACACTTTAACTGCTATGCTTACACTTGTATACTGCCAGGTAATAACAGGTAGGAATCACTCATCAGATCCTTCCCAAGGCCTTAGGATTTTTAAGTATGTCTTAATTTAAGTGAAAATACACTTTTCAACAAACTGAAAATGTTCACAGAAAATAATTACGACAGTTTGCATCTCGAATATTCCCCAAAGGCCCTTATGCTAAAGCCCTGGTCTCTAAGCTGGCACTACTGAGAGGTGGTATAACCTTTAAGAGGTATGGAGATTTTAGATCAGCGGGGCACGCCCTCAAAGGAAAGGCAGGCCACAGGTCTCTTCCTCTTTTTTTCCCCAGGAAACATGAGGTGAACAATTTTGCTCTACCATGCACTCCCTACCATAATATGCTGCCTCACCACAGCCCAAAAACAATAGGGCCAACTGTCCATAGGCTGAAATCTTTGAAAACATGAACCAAAACAAACCTTTCCTTTTTTTAAAATTTATTGTCTCAGGTATTTTGTAACAGTAATGGAGAGCTGACTAACAGCACTTAAAAAAAGATGAAATAATATATAATCATAACTTAGATCATGAAACATTTCTCTTACGTCTTCAATTGTAACAATTAAGACATAAATATGAAAAGGAGACACAGCAGTCTCCTTTGTGAACTGAGCTCCCTTAGAATAATGTGGCAGACTCCACATAAAACACACCCAAATGATGGCCCCTGATGGTCTTAGGTGCTGCCTAATTAAGCAATTGTTGAGAATATAGTAAAAATAATCAGGCATAGTGGTACATGCCTATAATTCCAGCCTCTCAGGAATGTTAGGCAGGAGGATTATAAACTCAAACCCAGCCTCAGGAATTTAGCATGACCCTATGTCAAGCTAGGCACAGTGGCATACGCCTGTAATCCCAACTACTAAGGAGGTTGACAGGAGGACTGCAAATTTGGGGTCAGCCTCAGCAACATGGCGAGGCCCTAAGCAACTTAGCCCCATCTTAAAATAAAAAATAAAAAGGTCCAGAGATGCAACTCAATGGAAGAGAGCCCCTGGGTTCAATTCCCAGTATAAAAAATATATTAATACAAGCCAGGGTTGTGGCTCAGCAGTAAGAGCGCTTGCCAAGCATGCGTGAGGCACTGGGTTGGATCCCAGGACCACATAAAAATAAACAAAATGAAGGTATTATGTCCATCTACAACAACAACAAAATATTAAAATACATACATACATACACTAAATAAATAGATAGCTGGGCATGGTGGCACACACTTGTATTCCCAGCTGCTAGGGAGGCTGAGGCAGGATGATCATGAGTTCAAAACCAGCTTAGCAACTTAGTGAGCCCCTGAGCAACTAAGTGAAACCCTATCTCAAAATAAAAAGTAAAAATGGGGATGTGGCTCAGTGGTACAGCACCCCTGTGCTCAGTTGCTGGAACCAAAAAAAAAAAAAAAAATTGATTAAATAATATATAAATTTTAAAAAAAAATTTAAAAAGGAGATGCAGCTCAGTGGTAGAGCACCCCTGTGTTCCATCCCCACTACCAAAAATTAAGTACACATATAAATAAAAAATAAATTTAAAAAGGCTAGAGGTGCTTAGTGATACAGCACCCCCACAAGGTTCCATCCCCAGCACCAGGAAAAAAAAAAAAAACAGAACCTAGTCAAAACCTGGTGGGTGCTATTCATTGCTACCTACAGGGTTTTTCAAATGCTGGAATTATTTTCTGTCAAATAGCTGCCTCAAGATCATTTCACTTAGGCTGCTTTGCCTTTATGAGAAATAATGTGATAAAAATTTATGTCACACTTTAAAAGCCTAAAACTGGAATAATCCTTCAAAGTAAGGAACTTACTTCCTGAGGCTGATCAAATACACTCTGGAAATCTCCAAAGGAAGATGATGAGAATTCCCCGAAGATCTTCCTGAACAGCTCCTCAGGGTCAACGGTGGGACCTCCCCTCCAGTAGCTCTGCCCAGAGCTGCTGGCCCCAGCATCAAAGCCAGCAGAGCCATAGGCATCATATTGCTTCCGCTTCACCTCATCACTCAACACCTACAAGGAGAGGCAGAGCAAGCAGCATTTCTGGGTCTGTGGAGGCATAGGAACACAGATAAAAGCTCCACCAAGGAAAGCAGTCACAAGGCTAAAGGGCTCCATGTGCCAAAATATTCTATGAAGTTCTCTGGATGGGGGGACAGACTGCAACTTCAGCTCCTAGAAGAGGAGAGAGATGACTGCATGGGACTCTACATGTGAAGCCTGAAGTACTTTCAAGTGTCTTATGAAAAGCCCCAGGGGTGGCCACACTGTTAAAATGCCTGTATTCATCTTCACAGAACCTCTTAGGCATCCTGAAGCTTCAGATTAATACTGCACCTCTCTTCTCAGGAGACACCCTGGTAGAGACCTTAAGCTTCCTACCCTTTATCCTACAGGACAAAAACAGGAGGAAGAGCGACAGGAGCAGAGAGTGCATCATTTAAGCATGCCTTCTGAGGACTATTCTGACCGCTATATTAGCACAAAGCTCTTTGGAGGGAAGCGCCACTATGGAGGGGTGGGGGAAAAATGGAGTATTCACTTTCTCTTTCTCTCTCTCCTCTGGCTTCTGGACTACCAGCTTCCTTGGCTAAAGATAGCCACTGTGTAGTTATTCAGGCCCTGATCATGTAAGCCAAACTAATAAATCCCCTCTTATAAACTTTACATACTCTATTGATTCTGTTTCTCTGGGAAATCCTGACTAACACACATTAAATGTAGTTGCCAGGAAATAAGACACTGGCTCAGTGACTACTCACTGAGCTGAGGCTGCTTTTATATAAGGATGTCTATTTCTGTGGATATATGAAACTACATATTCAGAACCCCTTTAGGATGGTCAAAGTCTGGGGAGAAGAGACACTATCCAGCAATTCTACTTGGGTGATGCCCGCCTCACATGTGTATGCTGTGCCCTCTGATTACATTTCTAGTTCTTCCATGGCAATAATGGTCTTCCACCAACCCTAAGAAGATGTCATGAGTAGGAGAGTCATCAAACAAGGGCTGAATTAATCCAACTGGGAGGTCCCAAATTCAGCTGCAAATATAAATTGCCTGGGAAGCTTTATTAATTCGGATTATTGAACCCCATTCTTTGTTTTGTCATTAATATACATTAACATACATGACAAAGTGATTTAGTGTAGGGACACAGCCTTCACACTGGACCATATGACACTACAGGCTGTCCTGTGTACCAAAGCAAACTCTGATTCACACAGCTGAACAACAGTGACCACATGCACATTAGTCACATTACCTCATAGGCTTCTGCCAGCTGGGAGAATTTCTCCTTGGCTTTGGGATCATCTTTATTTGTGTCTGGGTGGTACTTTTTCGCAAGCTAAGGGAAAAAAAAATGTAAATTAATACAAACATGAGATGGTTATTAAAACAGAACCCAAATATGAGACACAATTATGTCTTCTTTATAACAGTTAACTCTAAAGACTTATCAAGTGCTGGGCATGGTAGCACATGCCTGTAATCCCAGTGGCTCAGGAAGCACACTGGGGATGTAGCTCAGTGGTTAAGTGACCCTAGGTTTAATCCTTGTTACCATAAAAAAAAAAAAAATTATCAACTAACAGCAATTTTGAAAACAAGATTTAAAACTTTAAAACATTTTTTCAATGCTATAAATGTACACATTTTCAACCACAACAAATCTCTACCAAAAATAATAACTAGTTCTTTAGAACTTGGGCACCATTGTGAAAACAAAGTGCCAAACAGTGTATTTATGATAGACATAGTGGTGCATGCCTGTAATCCCAGCTACTTGGAAAGCTGAGGCAGAAGGATCACAAGTTTAAGGCCATCCTGGACAACTTAGTGAGACCCTGACTCAAAATAAAGCAAAAAAAGGGCTGGGGGTGTAGCTCAGTGGTAGAGTGCTTGCCTAACATGCATGAGGCCCTGGGTTTGGTCCTAGTACCACCAAAAAGAAAGAGATAAGATGTTAATCCCACATTGAACTCCTAGCTTTTATTTTATTGATAAGACCAAACCAAGAGTCTGGAACTCAACAATAGAATTTCACATTTTCTGTGTTAAGAAAGGAAATAATTCTTAAAACCCATAAACTGTTTTATCTGAATGTGAAAAATGTTTACCTAAAACTTAGATAAGTATACCTGCTAATTCAGAAAGCTCAGAATAAATTTAATTACAGAATTGGCCCTAAAAAATCTTTTTTATTTTAGGGCTGGGGTTGTACCTCAGTGGTAGAATGCTTGCCTACCATATGTGAGGCACTGGATTCAGTTCTCAGGGACTGCATATAAACAAATAAATTAAATTAAAGTCTATTAACAATTGAGAAAATATTTAAATTTTTTTATTTTAATTTTTTACTGGTACAATTTAATCATATATATATAGACACTCATTGTTACATGTTTATACATGTAAACGAGTTTTATATTTTAGTACTGGCAATTAAACCCAGAGCTTCAAGCATGCTAAGCACATTCTACCACTGAGCTACACTAATAGCCTCTGGAAAAGAACCTAATTTGGACTCTTTTTTCTAAAGCATTAATCACTACAGTACCATACACTGAAGAATGCATCCAGCAAAGTCCACTACATCACACCAACAGATTCACATAACCCATCCATATAGGCTAAGAACTGTACCAGCTGGGATAACAGACTGACATACAGACCTGGTAATAAGCTTTCTTGATCTCTTTCTGGCTGGCATTGCGGGGCACTCCTAGTATCTGGTAATAATCTTCTTTGGCCAAAGGGGTGTTTGTGTGGAAGTAGGCAGTACAAACAAAAGGGTAACTTTTTACTCCTGAAAAGGAAAAGAAAATCACTCTCAGAATGTGAGTCAGACAGCACACACCTGTGAAAGAACAAGACTGGAGATACCAGCTTGTCCCCCTCCAAGCCCACTAGAGAAAAAGGCAGTATATTCAAAAGTGGACAAAGCCACTGGGTTAAAATAAATTCATACAATATCAGAGTACTGAGTGTGGTTGATTCTGATGAATTATACCATTGGTGTAATCTCATAACACCATTAGAGAAATACTAAAGATCCCAGATAAAGAGCTGTCTCTGGGAGATGATTAAGAAGGGATTTAGAAGGCTGTGGATGTGGTTCAGTGGTAGAGCATTTGCCTACCATGCCTGAGGCCCTGGCTTCAATCACTAGAAGGGTGTGGGGGCTGGGAGTAAACGGTAAGGACCTCATGCATGTAGACTATAGGACCATGATGTAATTAAACCAGAGACTCTGGGTTGCAGTGAGTGATGATACACAGTGGTGGTTAGGAGATAATTAATGAGGTCCAGGAATAAGCAGAGGGCCTTAAAGATACTCTAAGTCTGGATTTTATCCTGAGGGCAATAGGGAGTCACTGCAAGTATTAACAAGAAATTAATGGGTTAGATTTTGAAGGAGATTTGGGAGACTACTTAAAATTAATAAGAGCCTAGAGAGGTAGCATACACCTGTAATCCTAGTGACACAGGTTGGGGCAGGAAGAGCACACATTAGAGGTCACTCTGGCACTTTATTTAGCAAGACCATGTCTCAAGATTTTTTAAAAAGGGCTGGGGTTGTGGCTCAGTAGTAGAGTGCTTGCTTAGCATGTATGAGGCACTGGGTTTAATTCTCAGCACCACATACAAATAAATAAATAAAGGTTCATCAACAACTAATAAAATATTTTTTAAAAAAGAAAGAAAAGAAAAAGAAAGAATAATAAAGGCTAGGGATGTAGCTCAGTAGTAGAGTGCCCGGGGTTCAATCCCCAATACTACAAAAATAAATAAATAAATAGATGGATAGATAGATAAATTAACAATAAAATTAATAGGAGTATGGGGATGTAGTTCACTGGTAGAGCATTTGCCTAGCATCATGGGCAAGGCCTTGGGTTCGATTTCCAGTACTGTTTAAAAAAAAAAAGAAAAGAAAAGAAAGAAAAAACACAATCAGAAAAGTTGAGAATATCCAGGAAAGTGTCAGGAGAAGGGATGATTAGACACAAGAATGAGCAGGAAGGGTCAGAATAAAATCAGGAACAGGAAGTAAAGCTGTTTTTGTTATACCCAATATTTCTAGAATGGGAAAAGCGGACAATAAAAGTAGTAGAGGTTAGGAGGCTGTTACTGTCTCTTCAGTCAGTCTTGAGGAGACATTAGAACTGGTTTCTCAGTGATCCTATAACCTCTTCCCTTTTCCTCAAGAGTAAGGGATTACCTTAACCATTTCCAGCTTCTCCTTCCAATGCCAAAGGCTGAGGCCAGAAGTGGCAAAGATTCTAAGCAGCTATGGATTCAACATCATCAGCAGAGTTAGAATGGGAGACATGCAAAACTGCATATGGATAAAGACAAATCACATCTCTCTATTACAAATTTGATAACACTGTTCAAAATGCATCAATGATCAGCAATAATTTAAAGAGTTTAGCCGGGTGCAGTGGCACATGCCTGTAATCCCAGGGGCTCGGAAGGCTGAGGAAGGGGGATTGGGATCGAGAGCCTCAGCAATGATGAAGCACTAAGCAACTCAGTGACACCCTGTCTCTAAATAAAATACAAAAAAAGGACTGGGGATGTGACCCTGTGATCGAGTGCCTCTGAGTTAAATCCCTGGTACCCAAAACAAGAAAAAGAAAACAACAACAAAAAAATCCTGACATTATAAATGTTATAAAACCCTAAAAATGACCATTTTGTTCATACTGAGAAAACAGACATTTTTTCAAATAATTCTCAAAAAACCTGAACAAACTACTGCTCCATCCAGGAATACGACAGGAAGAGAATTTTAAAATGTCTTCACTGGATTAAACTCACTCCCAATCTCTTGTTCTCTGCTACATTCCCAGTGCCTGAAATGGTAGCTGACATAGGGTAGCCTCAACAAATATCTGCCTATGAATTAATTTTCAGAGTTAAGACAGGATCAGAGAGATTAAATAATACACCCAGGTCACACACTTTGCAGGAGGAAAGTCTGTTCAAAACCCATGCTTTTTTTTTTTTTTTTTTTAAATGCTGCACAACACAATCACAATTACTGTTATTTTAATAACTACCTATTATGTAACTGGTACAAAATTGGCCCCCAATAGGAAATTATCTTATTAAATTTTCCAGTAAGAGCTTTTTTCCTCCTTCTTTTTCTGGGAACTGAACATCAAACCCAGGGGTATTTTAGCACTAAGCTACATGCCCAGCCCACTTTTTTTAACTTTTTAATTTTAAGACAGCGTCTTGCTAAATTGCTCAGGATAGGCTCAAACTTGCAATTCTCCTGCCTCAGGATCCAAAGTTGCTGGGATTGTAGGCATGCACTAAGTCCCAGTCAGCCAAGGCTCCTTAATCTTACTTATAACTTATAGATAACTTACAATTCCCAAATTCTAGAGGACACAAAACAACTATCATAATTCAAGAATATAAAAGGTTGCTCAATGCTTCCCTCCTTCCCTTTCACTAAAACTGAAGTCATCCAATGCACAGCATAAGAAAACATCATGGCTAAGCACTTTAAGTCTTAATACACATTAATTTGATGTAATCTCTGGCAATTAAGAAGATGCTAGGTTTAAATCAAAGTCTAATGCTTTTTAGCTTTGTGACTTTCTACAAGTTGTTTAGCATCTAAGCCTCAATTTTTCTATAAAATGGAATGGTAACAGTGCTTATCAATAAGGCAATATGATGGAAACATGGTAAAGTGCTCATATATGTCAGAATGTATTATTACAATCACTGTCTAAAGAACTTCTTAAGAACATAGTCTTAAAAAAGACTATTAACGTGTCCTTTAATTTACATCATGTGGTGGGAAGGGTATGAGCTATGGATATGACAACTCTGAGTTTGAGACAACTAACTTCACGACCTTGGTCAGGGTCAATTCCTGATAGTGCCTGTTTTTAAAATGGGGATGAAGATCTGCATATTGCAGGGCTGTTGAGTGACTAGCACTCATCAAATGGCAGTTGCCTCCTGCTTTCTCCTACAAGTAAAAGGTGCAGAGATACAGAAGGAATAGAGCAAGGGAGCCGCAGAGTCGAGAAATGTTGACAGAGGTGAAGGTTCATGGCCTTCGGGGCGGTTCATCACCCCGATCTCCGTGCAGTTCTTCCCCCTAGACGGCTATAGCGAGCCACCTGGGCCTCTCTGCCTCCCACTTGCCTTGCCTCCCCACCAATTCCGCACCCAAGTCGGAAGACACCTCCACCCTGCTCCCCTCGAGGCCGGAGCGAGGCGAGTCACTCATTGCTAGTTCCTGGAGCCACAATTCGAGCGCAGGAGCCTGTCCTCACCTGTGAGGCTGACACCGGGTCTCAATGTCAGCAGCGCCCGGGGGCCGCGAGCGCCCAAGGAAGGCGCGAAGGCGAGGACGCTCAGCTTGCGACCCAGAGACGCCCCCACCACACCCTCCCGCGGCGGTCGGGCCCCTCTCCCCGCTGCAGCCAGCAGCCGCGGGTTCCCCACAGCTACCAGAAACCAGCGTGTGGAACACCGCGCCGCCATCTTGGCCCGGGGACACTGCGCCTGCGCCGGCCGGCTCAAGGAGGCCTCGCAGGACGGCGCTTCCGGGGACGGGGCCTCCACGCGCACGCAGGGACGCACGCGTTGCGCACGCGCAGCCTCCCTGGCTCGCCTTGCTGATAGCCCGTGCCGGCTTGAGCTTTGCTTTGAAGATGCTGTCAGGCACACTTGCCCAGGAGAATCCAGTCATTTTGTGCTGGACGATCAAAGACTGCACTTTGCCTGTGAACGACGTGGCTGAGCGTAGCGATTGTAACTGGCCTGAGGATTCTGGCCAGGAGGGGAACTACAAGTCCCTGCAGGCTACGCGGCCTTAGGTCGCGCGGATCCCAGCATGCAGCGCGCGGCTGCCTTCGGCTGACCCTGAAGCTTGCGTCTCTGAGCGTGTGGGTCGCTCAGGCAGCCCCGCCTCCCAGAACCTGCGAGCTGGATGGCGAGAGTTCTGCTCTTGCTAAGCATAGTTGCCTTCTCCAAAAATGTAGCGAACTTGCTGATCATTCAGAATGATAGCGGAGCTCCCCCAAAATGAGTTTCATAAACCTTGTGAACACCCATTGTCTCGTGCATCCGCGGTTTTATGCACTTTGTAGAATACTGGGGATAGGGAGATGAATGTCATACCATCCCTGCCCTGGAAGAGCAAACCTCACTTGAGACAGACTCCGCCGGGCGCAGTGGCACCCGCCTGTAATCTCAACGGCTCAGGAAGTTGAACCAGGAGGATCTCAAATTCAAGGCCAGCCTCTGCAATTTATCGAGGCCCTGTCTCAAAAAATTAAAAGGACTGGGATGTGACTCAGCAGTTAAGCGCTCCTGGGTTCAATTCCCAGTTTAAAAAAAAAAAAAAGCATGGGAGTCCTGAGGTTGGTTAAAGTGGCCCCGTTAAATCCCCAGTCCCCTCTCCCAGAAAAAGAGAGAGAGAGAGAGACGCGCGCTCCTTGATAAGTAACACAAGTAACAGTGTACTAAATGCTATTCTAGGTGTACACTGGTAAGGAGTCATTCTGGGGAAGTTGGATTCAACTGTCAAGGCCTTCTGAGAGGTAATGTTCGAATTGGACTTTGATAAAAAGTGCATCTGGTAGGGATAAAGTAATACAAGGGCAAGAATTTAAAAATCTAATGTCTGGAGATGCAAAAAGTGTTTGCTTAAACCCTAAAGTCAGGGTTTGCAAATAGGAGGCTAGAAAGGTAAGACCTGCCTGATAAGTTGCAAGGAAGTTTCAACTTGCATTCTTCCAAGACCATCACCTCACCAAGCAATAGGAAGGGAACCTAAGGGTTCATAGATGGGTTTAGGAAGATCACTGCTCCCCCTGCTCTCTACCCCCAGTATTGTACAGAATAGTTGTGTGTATGTGGATCTGTCTTTCTTCCCTCCTCCCTCCCTTCTTCCTTCCTTTCTTCTTCTTCTTTTTTTCCACCAGGAATTGAACCCAGGGAGAACCACATCTACCAGAGAGCCACATCCCCAGCCCATTTTTTTATTTTGAGACAGGGTCTCACTAAGTTGCTGAGCCTGTCCTTGAACTTGTGATCCTCCTGCCTCAGCCTCCAAAGTCGCTGGAATTACAGGTGTGCACCACCACACCTGGTTAGGCTTGATTCTTTTTTTTTTTTTAATATTTATTTTTTGGCGGACACAACATCTTTGTTTGTATGTGGTGCTGAGGTTCAAACCCGGGCCTCACGCATGCCAGGCGAGCACCTCTACCGCTTGAGCCACATCCCCAGCCCTAGGCTTGATTCTTAAGAAGAATCTGAGAAGAGTCATTGTCGGGGAGGGGTTGGAGGAAGAAGCAGAGATGGATAGATACTGGGGCTTGAAACCAGGGCCTCATATATGCTAGGCGATCACTCTACTACTGAGCTACACCCCCAGTCCTGAACATCCAAATGGGAGGCATTCGGGCTTTTTCTCTGCCTTTAGAGGAGTCTGGCCTATGGTTTTCTGTTTGTTTGGGGATACTGGAGATTGAACCCAGGGGTACTTAAACACTGAGCCACATCCCCAGACCTTTTTATATATTTTAATAGAGACAAGGTCTCCTGAGTTGCTAAATGCCTTGCTAAGTTGCTGAGACTGGCTTTGAACTTGCAATCCTCCTGCCTCAGTCTCCTAAACCACTCGGATTACAGGTGTGCACCACCGCACCTGGCTGACCTGTTTTTTGACTGGTGTTGGGGTACAGAACAGATACTTTTTATTTTTATTATTTATTTATTTTATTAATTAAATACTAAGAATTGGGAAAAAAAAAAGAATTGAACCCAGGGGCACTTTACCACTGGACTATATCACCGCCCTTTTTATTTTGAGACAGGATATCACTGAGTTTCTCAGAGCATCAGTAATGTTGTCAAGTTTGGTCTTGAATTTGCAATCCTCCTGCCTCAGCTTTCCAAGTTGCTGGGATTACAGGTATATGCCAACACCCCTGAAAGAGCAGATATATATATATATATTTTTTTTTATTGTTGATAGATCTTTATTTTTATTTATTTATTTATTTAAATGTGGTGCTGAGAATCGAACCCAGTGCCTCCACATGCCAGGCAAGTGCTCTACCACTGACCCCCAGTCCCAGCCCCAACAGAAACTTTTTAAATGATTCCCCAACCAAGCTAATGAACCCAATTAATGAGAAGGTTTGGGGAGAATGATAAGTTATTATTTGGGCTTATAATGTTTGAGATGTCTGACTGTCTTATTTTAGGCAATATGTATATGATTATGGAGAAATCTGAAAGCTGTAATGTGCTAAGAATAACTTCTTTACTTCTTTACAGTTCACAGTTCTTCTTCTTTTTTGGTACTGGGAATTAACTCAAGGGCACTCAACCACTGAGCCACATCCCCAGCCCTATTCTGTATTTTATTTAGAGGCAGGGTCTTCCTGAGTTGCCTAGCACCTTGTTGTTGAGGCTGGCTTTGAACTGGCAATCCTTCTTCCTCAGCCTCCCAAGCCACTGGGATTACAGGAGTGTGCCACCACACCTGGCTTCTTCTTATCATTTTTTTTTTATACAGGGATTGAATCCAGGGGTGCTTAAATACTTGAGCCACATCCCCAGCCCCCCCTTTTTTAGTTTAATAAATAAATACCTTTATTTTACTTGTTTATGTTTTATGCAGTGCTAAGGATCAAACCCAGTGCCCACACGTGTCAGGTGAGTGCTCTACCACAGAGCCATCCCAGCACCGCCCAGCCCTTTTTATATTTTATTTAGAGACAGGGTGTCATTACCACAGGAAAGCAGGGAGCTGAAACTCCTAACCTTGATTCTTGTGTTCTGATGAAAGAAGATTTAATGTCAGACACTAAAAATCACGTAAGAGAACTTTATTAGAAGTGAATGTGAGGTGAAAATACATTAAAACAAAAGTGAGCATTAAGCAAAAAGTACTCTCAAGGTAAAGAGTGGGCTATCTCCAAGCAGAGTAGGACAAAGGAGACAATGCCATCCCAATTTTATTACTGTTTGATGTTTACCAGGACAACTGGGGACCACCTTCTATACTCTTTGCCAACCAGGTGCTCCACTCTTCCTTCACATCAGGTGGTGGAGGAGTTTTTTACCTTAGTTGGTCCTCTCTAAAACTGTCATGGTAGCCATCCTATTTAAGGGGGCTTCATCTACAAGTCAATCCCATGTTAATGTGGGCACTAGGATAAATCACTGGTCAGAAGTTACCTTAGTGCACCTGTGCTACTAAAGGAATCTTCCTCCCCAGATAAATGGAGGCACCTTTAGCCATAATTCCTAGCTTCATGTCAATATCAGTGGACCCTATCAAAAGTTAATTCCATTAATCCTTTTCTCTTGACATGTTTCCCGATTAGCTCCTTTTGCTTCCATTTCTTTTCTACAAATTAACTACCATACTTTGCTTTCTTGTTTAGTTTGGAAGTAGTTTAAAGAAGACCCTTAAATAGTTTAAAGTACACCTGTGACCTTGGCTGCATCTCACCGCTTATTACTAGCTACTACCTAACATCAGTAAGTTGCTTAGGGCCTCACTGAGTTGCTGAAGCTGGCTTTGAACTCAGGATCCTCCTACCTCTGCTTCCTGAGCTGCTGGATTACAGTCACTTGCCACCATGCCCAGTTCTTCTGACATTTTATATTCCAATATGATCAGAAACTCTGTGAAGCGGGTAGGAAAGATTATTTTCTTTTCCTTTTTTTTTTCCTTGTACTGGGAATTGATCTCAGGGATACTCAACCACTAAACCACATCCCTAGACCTTTTTGTATTTTATTTAGAGACAGGGTCTCAATGAGTTTCTTAGCGCTTTGCTTTTGCTGAGGCTGGCTTTGAACTTGCGATTCTCCTGCCTCAACCTTCCAAGCCACTAGGATTACAGGAGTGTACCACCGTGCCTGGCAAAAAGACTATTTTCTCTAGTGGACACCCCTTCCAAATACAATAAATTCTGAAAGAATGTAAAGATTTGTTCAAGGTCACATGGCCAGTAACACCTAAGACGAGGTCTTTTTTTTTTTAATTTTTTAATATTTATTTGTTTTTAGTTTTTGGCGGGCACAACATCTTTGTTTGTATGTGGTGCTGAGGATCGAACTCAGGCCGCATGCATGCCAGGCGAGCGTGCTACCACTTGAGCCACATCCCCAGCCCCAAGACCAGGTCTTCTAACAGTGAAAACATGGCTCTTTCCTGTAAACCATGTGGCCTGTTATATCATTAGTTCTTAGTTGCCTAGCCCTTGATAATTTACAAAATATTTTCTCATGTTTCATTTCATTTGATTCTCACAAGAAGAGGGAGGCAGAACAAATATTGTCACCCTTATGTAGGAACTGTTGCCCTGCCTTCCAAAGCCTTCAATTGGGACAGGATACAAATTGTCCATCTCAGGCCTGTTGCCAAAGACTGGGAGGAGCACATGGACCACATCTCCCCGCATTCCTAGGCAAAGTAAGCCTCCTCTCCCTGTGCCCTGTGTTCTCCATTCTGAATTCCCCCATCTTGA